CGAAAGGATTTCGTCGTCGCTTAAGTTGGTCCTGATCACAATACTGATCTTTGCTTTATCCACAATCGTCATTATGCGATCGTGCTATGACGATGCTCAATGTACTTTTGAGGTAATACGTAGTGCAGCTGCAACAGTCGAAGCAGTCCTCAACGCAGCAAAAACGAAAATATTCGCCCAATGTATCATGAAACAACAGAACATATATCGTCACTGTCGGTGCACTTGAAGAAATCATAATCTTTAATTAACTTGGCTGCTTCGTCCTTGACAGCCAACAGTATGAAGTTGAAGTCATTGCTCTGATAGCAGCAAAGGAGGCATTTCTTCAGCTCTTAAGGCCGCTGTGAAAACGACGGATGATCAATCTGAAGAGGAACTGTCCAGTTCCGCAGGTCATCATCCGTTTCTTTCTCATTCATGAATGCGACAGATGAGCCTTCTGAGTCAAAAACACGAGGAAGTTCCTCATTCTCATGGGCGATTTCAATGCGCACGTCGGAGTAAACGTTGAAAAGTGGAACAGCGTGATTGGGAAAAACGGCCCTAGCGACCTCAATAATAACGGCATGAACTTGTTGCGGTTTTGTGCAAACAACGGATTGTCTATTATGAACACCTTCTTCGAGCATCGAAAAGTGCATCAGTCACCTGGTACGGGGTGCTTGTGCACAGAAGTCGATGATCGATTTGATAATCGCATCGTATGACTTAAGACACTCAGTAATGGATGTTCGTGTTAAGAGAGGCACAGAGTTTTCAACCGATCAACACCGAATATTCGAGTCTGCTCCAAATGCTGCGGATTCATATGCGCTGGCCTGCTGGCTAGAGGTCAGAAAGAGAGGTATAACTGGCAGCTAAAAAGAAGAAGGCTGCATTTAAGAAACGGCTTTGAGGAAAGAATCATCTTCTCGTATGAGGCTTGAAGAAACGCACAAGGCGGATTCGAAAGCATGGTCAAAGAGAAGGTTGACTCCTGGTAAAAGTTCGGTGGAGTTGAATTTCCAGTCTGTAAATAGGGCATTCTGGAAGACAATCCACCGGATCCGAGATGAAAAGAAGGCCAGTCTAAGAGTCTTGAAGGACAGGTCTGGACACCCACTTACAGAGGGTAAGGACATTTTTCGGCAATGAAGAATGTACTCGGAAGAACTTCAGCTGTATTCTGTCGAAGCTCAGACTCTGTCAAAGAATCGGAACGTTGGAAGCACTGTCTGACATGTCTGCCTCCGCGACCCAAAAGGAGAAGCAGTCATTGAAAAGTGAATTGAAGTGAGGTGTCAGAACTTTGTCTGATATATGACGAAGTACCATTTCCAGCGGGCAGACATCCCAAATCTGGGATACTCTTTCACTCAAGCCTTGTTCACCTTAGATAATAGGACAACAACACCTGCTGGTACATGTTCTCAGAAAGCGTAGAGTTTGACTCTTGTCGGCTATCTTCTAAGTAGAAGACGACAGAAGACGATTTCAGAATGAAATTCAACAACGAAATAATAGCAAAAATCAAATCGAATATTATGACATAATGCTTAGCTCTCACTATGAATCACAATGGGAATGAAAATAAAAGTGAGAATGAAAAAAAGGATGTATCGATTTAAGATCAATCAGTAAGCTTTGGCTTCGAAAGGCCCTTCTAATTTTTTTGACTGATGTTAAGAGATAATACACTCATAAAGAAAGCGATCGGTGGAACGTCCGATAAACTAGACAACATGGTAAAATGCGCCAAGTTTATTCTCTGTCGCATGCATGAAGATTGGTTTAAAAGCCAATATTTTCCAATTCATTTGTTCTTCTTTGAAAGTATAGTACTTACCAAAGTGCATTACGCTTCTTTCAAGTAGAAATTCCACGCGGAACAGAGCAGTGGCTTGAGCTTAAATTTCATAAATAATTTACTGAATTAAATATGCTTTCATGTATATCCTTAATTTATAGGTAAATAAACTAAAATGAATTGACGAGTGTGCGATCACTGCCCAATCTGGAGCAAGATCCGCGACGAGTCGGCATCTTACTGTAGGAAAACCACCTGCAGGAAAGGCTGGTATCGCTAAGGTTGGTTGGTTGGTATCGCCGTCCCCGTTGGGATGACGAACATTGTTACACCCGTGACTGGAGATAAAAGGAGCAACGAATTCAGTTTTGTCAGGTGATACAATGGGTAAATATATAGTAAGACCGAGCATACGGAAAATCGAGTAATGAAATAAAACAAGGTGAAGAACTGGAGCGTTGATGGTGCATCAGCGTTAACCAGGCTCAATTAATGACGTACGTTTCTTCTGTCTATTAATTTTGCTGTTAATTCTTCCGCCATTATGGCTTCCAACATCGTGTTTTCTCTCTAATTTTCTTTTCGTCTAAGTTTCTTGCTGGAAAGCCACTGGATGATGTGATCAATTGCGATGCTGTGCTCTGCTATCGCTGAACTTCATTGTCTGATTTAATTACGTAGACAATATGCTGCTTTATTCCGTTTCTGAGTGTTCACGCAGTTTCTTCAATGTAGGTGTCGCCACAAGTGCAAACTATCCAGGGGTTTCTTTGTGATTCTACGATCCGTTTCATGTATGGAAGATCCCATAGCTTTTGTGAGTGACGGCATATTGTCCTAACGCCATTTTTATTCATCAACTGCTGTATCCTTTCACTCAGGTCTTCTTGATAGGGAATGAACAATAAGGGTATATTATCAAAGTTGTCTGAGAGGGACAATGAGATAAGAATTGATTTCGATCAGTTTCCGGTTTACCTTTCAGAACTGTTTGAGAATGAAAAGCTCCTGATAGCTGTTCGCTCTTAGTTCGCTGAAAAATTTGTTATTCAAAGGGAATGGAATCCAGACGTATTCCCAAATTTTTTAGGTACAGGATTTGTTCACAACCATTTTTCATAAACACTGGTATGGGAACTATAGTTAGTGCGTCTTCCGATGCAAGCAGGCGTGACGGTCGTTTTTCGGATCTCACCATCCGTATCTCACTTCCAGAAACGGCAGCCTTCAATGTTCTTGACGGAAACCTTCACTGACCTTCTGAGGTCTGAACAACTTTTCCAAGCCATTTACTGTGCTCACCGAATGACGATTATGGTAAGAGGATGAGAAGCATATTTCACTTTACCTTTCTTGAACTTGAAATGCAAGCACCGGTGCTAGCACAGGTCGACTTATCGTCTTAATCAATGAGGATGCCGCGGACATAACAATCCAAGGATTTTGCCATTGCAACTGCTCTAAACAACCATCACAACAAACAGTTGTGAGTCTGACTTTGAACAATTAGACGAAATACTTGAGTCCATTGAGTCTTAACTTTAGCAAAGCCGATCAGATAAGTCTGAAGCACCGTATCGACTCGATTTCAACTTGTGATTGTCAGTGTTCAGAAACGTACAAGAAGTAAGATGATTAATTCAATCGTTTAAACCGTGAAGGCTAACGTTAGGCAATATTCATTTGTTCCGTTCATGATTATTCGCTCAATGAAACAAAAATAAGAAAGTTGATGTCCCAGACGTCCATGCACTCGACTAACTTAAGTCATCGACCCCGGAAATCAATGTTCGTTGGAGAATTCAATTTTCCTTACTTTAAACCTGCACTGTTTTGTTACTACTTCGAGTAGCAGCCTGAACCACATAGTTTAG